GAAAAGCCTAACCGAAGGACTCACACCCACTAAAACTCCTGAGCATGTCGCAATAGCTTGTATGCTTGTATGGTTGTCCAACAGGATTACTAGAGTACACCACCACCACTCCCGGCTTTCCATTTAATCTCCTCTTCATCCCTTTTCATTCATTCATTCATTTTTATTATTTAACGTAATAAAAAAGAAAACTACGGGGTGGCAAAAAAAAACATTCGTTTATTTAAAAATAATAATAAAACAATAATTAATAAAATAAAATTTTTTTTGTTTTTCTTTTAAATTATAATTATTATCATTATTATAAAATACATAAATTTTTATTTTATTTATTTAAAAGCTATGTACATAATACATTTTATTTATTTATTTATTAATAATAATAATAATTAAAAAAAAAATTACTTATTTATTTATTAATTTCGCAAAATTATAAGATGATGAATCATGAAGCGGCAAATTTAAATTTTATTTTTCTTCTTCTTCTCCTCCTCCTCCTCCTTTTTTTCCAGGCTGTCATCATCGTATCAAATAATAATTATTATCATCATCATAGTCATTTTACGTAAGTTTTCTCCAGCGCGAGATTCGTACAATAAAAACGAAGAGTATTTATCCATTTCCTTTATTTTTTTTCGCGCTTTTTTTTTTTTTTTCAAAAACTTACGTAAACTATGACGAAAGTTTACGATGATGACGTGGCGATGACGTCACGAAAACATTCGAAATTTTCTTTTCTTTTTTTTTTTTTTTTTTTTCACGTCCTTATTGTAATAATAATTGTAATGAAATAAAGCAAACGACGAGGCCGGTTGACACGTTAAAATGAACATTAAATTTAAATTTTTTTTTCTTTTCTTTTCCTTTTCTTATTTTTAATTTTTGTACAGAAAAAGAGAATGAAAAGCTTTTTTATATCTATTCTTTTTTTTTTTTTTTTTTTTTTTTTAAAGTTTTTCACTTTTTTTTTTGTTTGTTTTGTTTGTTTTGAAACGCGATGCGGCGACGAAAAAAGCCGACTAATTATTATTACAAAACCTGCGATTTATTTATGTAACCGACGGTAAAAGTCCGGGAAAGGCGTCCCATCCTGCGAAGACGACCTGAAATAAAAGGAAAAAAGGTATATTACAAAAAAAAAGAAAAATCAAAATCGTCGTAATTGTGTACAGCCTGACGGGTGGGGGGGGGGCACAACCGGAAAAACAAATCGCGATTGACGCGAAAGACACGAGCGCGTACGTTAGACATTTCGTTTGTTTGTGTTTGTCGTCGAAACCGCGAAATTAAATTTTTTTTTAAAAAAAAAGAAAAGTTTCTGGAAAAATTATTCACACCGCTTCCAGAAGCACACTTTTCCACGGGTTCCTGTTTCTTGCTGGACAAGACAAACCACATCGAATTTTGAGTGCTCGAATGCAAACGTGCGTGTGTGTGTGAGTGCGTACGTGCGTTTTTTTCTCCAAACCGTCGTCGACGAAAACGTTTTAACAAAACAAAAAAAAAAAAAAAGTGGGGGAAGTGCAAGGTGTTTGTTTCCTATTAGTCCATGACTTCGAATAATAATAATAATAATAATAATAAATACGTACTCTTGTTTGTAGGCGTTGATTATGGCAGCCGATTATTGTCCACCTTTCTTGCGACTACTCCGGACTGCGAAGAAAACACATAAAAAAAAAAAAGAAAAGAAAATTGTATTAGTTTTAGTCAAAAAAAAAAAAGCGAAAAAAAATTCGTCGTCAAAGGTCGACGCATTCGAAATTTCAAAAAAAAACCTCAAACTCCGAACGTTCGACCGTAAAACAAACAAACAAACAAACAAACAAAAAAGAGAAAAACCCCCTTTACGCATAAACGTTTGACTGCGTTGAGTAATATTATTATTATTTTTTCTTCTAATGTTAAAGGAAACGGAAACTGTTTGGAGGGAAGGAGGGACAGGGTGGGGGGAAGGGTGGAAAGGAAAATTGCTGAGGCAACAAACAACGCGGCGTAATGCGTAAAGGAGAGCGTCAGTTTCAAATTTAATTCGATTCGTTAATAAGGGTTTAGTCGATTAAAAAACAACAACAAAATTAGAAAAAAAAATTACACGTGTGTTACGCAAGGTGCACACGTGCGTACACACACACACGAGACCAATTCTAGGTAGGTTTGTCTCGTTTAAAAACTGGACAATATTTTGGAAATTTGTCCTTTAATTTTTAGTATTATCGCTCCGTGATTTTTGCGTGCGTGTGCGTGTATTTGTTTTATTGTTTTTTTGCCCCCCCCCGTCCCTCCCTCCTACCTTCCCAACAAAATAAATAATCGAACGGTTAAAAAAAAAAAGGACAACCCGAACAATAATTAACCGAACCGGAAATTCAAAAAAAAAAAAAAGAAAAAAAATTTACGTTTTCCTTTTTCAAACCATTTCCTACGCGTTTGTCTGCTAAGAAACGATAGTAATAATAATAATAATAATAATAATAATAAATCAAAACCTCTCTTGAGGTCTCCGTTACTTTCCTTTCGAAAAAATCTCCCGAAAAAATCTCGAAATGCCTCTCATTAAAAAATTGTTATCGATTGATATCGATGTCAATATTCGCGAATCGAGAAACCGGAAGAAAGTCGAAGTGTGACGTAAGATAAAACAGACAACTTCCGGTTTTTCCTTTTTGCTCCTCATCAGACGCGAACAAAAACAAATAATTCGCATATTGATGATAATATTAGAGTTAAAAAAAAAAATCAAAATTAAATTAAATTTAAAAAAAAAAAAAAAACCAAACGTATGAATTGATTAATAATAATAATAATAATGATAATAATAATAAGAACCTCTTTCGTATGTACAGAAGACTTGAGAATATCGTCGAGGTTTTTTTTTTTTTTTTTTTTTTTTTTTATTAAAATTTTTTTTTGTTTTTTAATTTTTTTTTTTTTTTTTTTGGTTTTTTTGTTTGTTTTTGTTTTTGTTTTCTTCCCCCCTCTCTCTCACTTGCACGTGGCTTTCCTGTACGGAGACGGATTGGGTCTAAAAAACCGAAACCTTAGACGAAGATCAAAATCTTTTCGGACTAAAATAAAAACCAATACATGTGTTATTAGAAACTATTTTTCCAAAAAAAAAGTCCAAATTCAGGATTTCCACGCTTTTAAAATAAATTAAAAATAATAATAATAATAATAAAATAATTTCGAAATCGTCTTTTTGTCCCACTTTGTGTGCCTTCTCCAGTAAACCAAAAAAAAAAAAAAAATTGATTGATTTTTGTTTTATTGTGTAAAATGACGATATGATCGCGATTATGGTGTTCGGTGAAAATGATTTCAAGTGTGATGGTGATGCAGTGCCGAGATGTCGATGACGATGGTTATGACGTCGTTACCAACCACGTGACCAAACGTGAAAATTTTTACTCAAAGAAACAAGAAGCGAGCTTGTGAGTGCAGCCTTTTGTCATCAACTCTGTACTTACGATGCAACAACAATTTCTCAAAAAGCAAAAAATTTCAAAAAAAAAAAAAAAAAAGTGAAAAATGAGGTCTCCTCTCATTTTGATAAAAAAAATTTTCTTTCTGTTTTGTTTTGTTTTTTTTTTTTTTTTTTTTCAATAACATCAGACAACAACAACAACAACAGCAACAGAACATCGATTACAACAAAACGAAAAAAAAAAAGAAAACAAATCAAAAAAAACTCAACTCACGTTTTACTGCACGTATGAAGGGGGGGAGGGAAAAAGAAAAAAAAAAGTGAAAAAAATTCCGGCGGAAAAGCGAATGAGGCAAAGACGAGAGACGTAGTAACGATAATGATAATAATAATAACAACAATAAGGATGATAATACAAAACGAAAGAAACTAAAATGGCGGCGTCTCTGTCGTCTCTCTCAGAAAAGGTCCTTCCGATGTTGAATCAATGACTACATTGTTCGGTGCGTGACTTCGACGACCTTCCACAACATCACGTTCGAAAATAAACAAATAATCAAAGTTAAAAAATATTATTCGAAATAGAAAAGAGAAAAACAAAAAAACAAATTAATGAAAGAAAATAATAATAATAACCAGGAAACGAATCGTGGGGGGAGGAGAAGAGACAAGAAATGATCCGGATCTCAGCATCCATTCACGCTCTACTCCTCTCTCTCTCTCTCTCTCTCTTCCCCTCCCCTCACCCCCCCCCCTAGTGAAATGAATGAAAATAAATATTTACACTCGATTATTAAAACTACTACCACGACTTTTGCTCGAGATCAAAAAAAAAAAAAAATAATAATGATAAAAAAAGCGTTCGATTCGAACGGGCCTGTATATCATTCATTAAGGCCCCCCCTCTCTCTATCTCTCTCTCTCTCTCTCTCTCTCTCTCTCGTCATTTCAGTTATTCTTTTTATTTTTAGTACTGAAATTATATCAAATCGTGTCGTGTAATTAGTTTTAATGTCGACAACAACCTACGAGTTGAAAAAGATGGCCGCATTAAAAAAAAAAAAAAATTTTTTATTTATTATTATTATTATTCATTGGAAACGTTTCGCAATTCCCTGTTGAAAAATACCTCGTCATCATCATCATCATCATCTATCGCGAAAAAAAAAAAAAAAAAAAAAAAAAGCGCTCGCGAAACAAAAAAACAACGTTTCGTTTTTATTCGTGGCACAAGATCGTTTTTTTTTTTTTTTTTTTTTTTTTTACCGTGACAAAATAAAAACCCCGAAAACGTTAGTCTTCTTCAATTTAAAAAATAAAACGAACGTTGATAATAATAATAATAATAATAATAATAATAATAATAATAATAATAATAATAATAATAATAATAATATAAAATCCGAACTTGATGATGAACGTTTGAATTTTATTAGAAAACGAAGCCAAAAAAAAAAAAAAAAAATTACAACATTCTATTTTCGATGACAGCCAACACACAAAAAAAAAAAAAAAGTAAATCATTCGAACGCTTTCAACCCCCTCTCTCCCTTCCCCTCCCATCCCATCCCCCTCATTTTATTTTAAATTCGTGAGATTTAAACGCGCCTAAAAAAAAAAATAAAATTTCCTTTTCTCAATTGATTTTCCTCCCCGGGGCCACTTTGCGCACGATTTTTTTCCCCCTCCCCCTTTTTTCTTTAATTTCCTTTACTCTTGGGGAGAAGAGGGGAAATCCGTTCACAAATCATACGCCGAATAACAATCGATTACGATGATGATGATGAAGATGATGATGTACGATTAAGATGAGAGAGAACGAGCGGTCACGATGGCGGTGACGACGACGACCACGACGACATGATTTTATGCAATGAAGATAATAATGATTTTTTTTACATTTAACTTACTTCTGTCGATGTTTCTCTGAAGGTGATTAGCAACCCGATGTCTCGCATCGTTGTATTCCAGGTGCAAACCGAGCCTTAGCAATGTGGGATTTTGCTCGACCAAATTTGTTATTTCCATTTCTATTTTATTACCGAGTACTTGACTCCTCTGATTCGACGCTCTGAATTCTTCGACCGTTTTCGTCTTCAATAAACTTTTTATTAATTTAACTATGATCGGTGGACTTATGAAATTCGTCTCGATGCTAAAAAAAAAAAAAAAAAAAAAGATGGTCAAGTTTGGATAGTTTTTTCCTTTGACTTGATCCTCTTTCATTCATTCATTCATTCATTCGAGAGTGTGTACTCACTTGACAACTCTAAGAGTTTTATTTTGTTCGAGTGCTTCGGCTAATTGCATCGCCACGTGATCCGTCATTCCTACGTTAGTCAGACTTAATATTTCCAAATAAGTATTACCTTTGAGTGCTTCGAATAACTGTTCAAATTTTTCATCCGATATATTCTATAAAACATTAATAATAATAATAATAAAAATGACGTAATAACAACAACAACAACCAAGTTGTGACGACAAATAAAAGCATAAAAAATCCCGACTAACTAACTTTTATGTTGTTCCAGTTGAGGTTGGTTAAAGTCGAATCGTCCGATTTGACTTGTTCGATTGTTTTATCAACGTCCGTCGTGTTCGGAGGATCCTGCGGATAAAATTTTAATTTTGACGCTTTTGTTATGCCGTCCCAACCTAATCCCACTGGTTGACCTTTGTTTAAAAGCGATGCGTGATATTGATCTTGATTCATCATCGAATGAAATCCGAGAATGGCTGTTATAACAATAATTAAAACCCGGGTTAATTAAATATAATTGTCATAATAATACTATAATAATGATGGTCATTCGAAAAAAAAAAAAAATCGTGGAAGGAGAATGAATTTGAATTAAAAATTTCTCGCGGTTTTTTTTTCGTTTTGTTTTGTTTAATTTTACCTGCCAAATCGATAATTTCTTCTTGCGTCGCGTCCGCCAATGCTTGCTCGTATTCATCTCCTAAATCGATGCTAATTTTTTCTTCGAGGTTAACCTGTTCGGCGGATGGCGGAGGTGGCACCCACTGCGTTGCACGAGAAAACAAATTTTAAAATTTTTGAAAATAAAAATTATACAGGTTTGACACTTCGACAAATACGTACCTTTTTCCCCCTTATGACTCCCGGTACGAAAGGTTTGAGCTCGGGTTTATCGGGCGTTTCCAAAGCTTGTTTATTTATGTGTTCTATGAGCTTTTTCCTGTCGAGAGGACCCGTGGGATTTTTATCACATTCGTAACTACATCTTTGAGATGGCGGTAAAAGGTTGTCGTCGGGATCGACTTCTTTAGCTACAAAAAAAAATTTACGATGTGATCGTGAACTCGGGTCAATAAGAACACACATAAAAAAAAAAAAATTCGATTCTTTTAAACGACGTCACGCAAACACTAAAAGTCATCACGTGATGATTACCAGGTAAATAAAAATTAAAAATAATAATGATGATGATGATGATGATAAAACGACCAGCACACAAAGAACGTTTGAATGACTTGGTTAAAAAAAAAAAATGAAAATAAAGAAACCCGAAGTCACCCAAGCGTATAAAATAACAAAAACAAAAATGAGGGGTTTCTTTTTTTTTCCTTTTTTAATTCGAAGGGAAAGTAATAAGTCGGGGGAGGGGAGGGAAGGGAAGGGAAGGATGGGAAAGGGAATCAGAGACCACGAAATTCAAATGAATATTCAAATCCTGAAACTTGAGAGACGATTTTAATTTCATCAATTTAAATAACGTTCATTCAAATCTTTCTTTTCCTCCCCTCTCCTCCCCCCCCCCTCTCTCTCTCTCTCTCACCAACGATGAAAAGTGACATTTAAATTTAACCTCGTTTCATCAACCTTAACGT